TGTCATTCATTCAATCTTTTTTGTAGATTGTCTACATTAATTTAATTCACTGCTTGTTGCAACTCCTGGTTAGATAGCTATAGTGGTCATGGGTTTAGTGCGCATCGCTCGAGTGGGCCCCCCTGTAATCTGTGCATAACAATAAGGTTGAATCTAATCATGAGCAGGAACAAATGTATTTAGTTAGTCATATCTGAATTAACGATTAAGCACATTTGTGCATTCTTTATAGAAGCAGGTCAAGGCGACTCCGGAGGTGGCGGTATGCACCTTAAAGTTGTCTCCGCCTCTTAATGCGTTAGTAATTTTTTCTCTGCCCCATGATCATTATAACCAAGTGTATCCAGATACTCTCGAGCATGCCGCAGTGTTAAGAAGTTTATTAGCTCTCGACAGATCTAACAGGTTCGAAAACTACAACTTCTCGCGCACCACAGCGATGTGGGTATGAGTGGAGAGAAAGGCGGAAAAGTGGGGCTATGTATTCGGACGCAGTTGACCCATTGGCGGCATCTGCTAGTCGTTGAAAGACAGCGAGTCAAGGGTAGGCTGAACGGGAACATGCGTGGACGACTAGTTCTATATTAGAATGAGCACCCAGATCGCTAATAACAGTCGTTATGCTACAGGGTGCTTCAGGAGATTGGCATTGCACGAATCAGATGAAGTTATTTGACTAATAAGCGGCCCAATAGGATCTCTCCTAAAAGTGTCCTGATACACAATTTAACTTTAAAATTTATTTATTGTTTGTCGGTCCCTTTTTTTTATCTCGCCACCCGATCAAATTGAAAATAGTTCGATACGTTTTGTCTCGACACGTTTAGGTCGTAGGTCTCTCCGCTCTCTGTATCCCAAGACCTTTGCCTTGTGATGACCAGTCGCCCCGACTCGCCTTCTGGACTGCTTTAAAAGAGATTGTCAATCAGCAAAATTGACGAGCGGGGCCCGGAGATTGCTGTAGTAGAAGCTTGCTTGCTGGTGTTTGTGGGACACTGTCTAACGCGTTGACACGTTCTCATCAACGCTTGCGTGGAAGTCGGGAAACGGAGTACGAATGATAGCTGTCAGGCCTCTGTACGAGTGTTTGGTTGTCGGTCTCTTCGTGCTCACTTTTCTTCTTTAGGCAAAGGGCGCGGCTCAGTGGGATGTGTCTGGATGCTTGGGCTTTACGGCTGAGGTAGTCTACTCCCACTACATCGTTCCCCATCTCTCACCCTCCGCCTGGTTCGGTGAAAGTTTTTTCCCTCTAAATGGTACTGTGAGTTGAGGACATCGCCTGTATTCGCTGTAAATTACATCCGCAGGGAGTTTCGGGCGCTGACTCGTACACAATGAATGTGGATGAGACGTCAACGCGCTCTGTATTGATCCGAGTCTCAGATTTGAGCGGGAAGGATGACATAGAGGATGCGTAGATTCCGTCCTTGCGTCGTGGCAACGACGGATCAGCTTTTTACTCTCGCAAGGATCCTGGGAGGCGGGCCTGGGAGACGCTCATCCAGGTGCTACATGTGTATTTGCGGAGATACTTGGAGAAGGCCGTTAACTTATGAGGTTACTTAGTTAATGTCCCCAAACCACTGGTAAACACACACCTGATCACCTGTGAGAGCTGCCGTTAACTCTCGCCGGTTTAAGTATACACCAGAGCGGTCTGTACTATCTGTGAGAGATACAGCCGTGTCTGCCTGGGAGTGATTTGTTATGAAGGTTATTGGGAGGTATAATTGAGAGGGTATTAACACTACAGCGATCTTATTCTGTCGAGTGCCCACTCCGTAATCTCTTGGTGTACTCTACCGAAATGCGATGAGCTGTGCGGTAGGTCCTCGGCAGTAAGTCGGACTCCAGAGTCTGTAGCGTGCATGTTTCACGTGTTGGCCTCCACCCCGCGGTGCGCTTTGTCACCAATCCTGTTTGTAATATACATTGGATCGGATTCTCCGAGGCGTAGTGCAGATAGGGTGGATATTTAAAAACCAAGCGATTTTTTTGTTGTTGTAAGGGAGGGGGTTCTAGCTGGGTATCGAGTGGTAGTCGAAGGTTGATTTGCTCTCAAGTCCACTGCTTTATTGCCGATTATACTGTATCTGTGTTCTGTCGATGGCACATTCTATCGGTCTCAGTAGCCTTCTCAGCTCTGGATACTCAGGTTTTCGTCGAGATGATGATTAACACGCGCGAATCGTGTGTGAGAATGTGCGGAGCCTCGGGATGAGGATCAGCACCTCCAAATCTGAGGCCATGGTTCTTCAGCAGAAACCGATGACTGTCCACTCCAGTAGGGAATGAGTCCTTACCCCAAGTGAGTACGGACGATTCAAGTTTATCCTCGGACGGAAGTCTTGTATTCATCGAGTGAGGCGGAAACATAGGAATTGTTGGAGTCAGCTGTAGAAATGGGTCGCGCAGGTGGATCGGTTAAACAAATTAATTGCTGGTACAGTGAGAAGACCGCGCATCGTGTGCAGTGTCTCTTTTAAACGCACCGTATGATTGCATATCTTCTGATGTTTAGAACAGAAGGGATGAGCTGACCAGAACACGGCTATAGCCTCTCTCTGTCTTACCGCGCCATGTTTGTTTCCACATATTTGTAATCCCTTTAACCTAATAGTGTACTATGAACGGGACTGGGTCTATAATGTACCAGACTGTTTATTTCACATGAGAGATCCAACGATGGCAGCTTGATCTTTAGTCAGCCGGCTGTCCCCCTGAGGGGATCCGGATGTACTCAATATGGACAGGGCGAGACTCTGGTTCTTCTCTCCGCAGATGTATAAGTGGCTGGCATGTTCCTCTTCTTAAGGGGGAGTGATATCGAGATGATACGCATGCTTCGGGGGGTCAGCCGTGCTGTGTGTTCAGCAGTGGTGAACAGACCACCTGGTGCCACGATCTCATACTCGGCGCTCGCAAAGGAGCTGGCATAGGCTTCGTAAAGTAAGGTGTACAGAAGGCCCTACCGTAGTCTCATCTCTGGTAACCTATTAGGCTGAGCGCACTGGTTTGTCCTCTGCATTTGTTCGACGCTTTAGCTGCATAAAACACACAAGGGGACGGGAAGGATACTCCCGTAAATAAGCTAATCGCGGCGTTGTTGGGGTCCCTATTATCTAATTGAGTAGGTTTCTCCTACAGCCTAGACGGCCAGACACGCGGCTGTGTGACTCGTAATTGGGTGTCATAGGGAGGACTGCCGCGCGTCTCTCGCAGAACACCCTCATTTGTGCTCACTGTACAATCGCGCGTGGGTTCGCAGCAAGAGAAAATGCTGAAAGGAGTAGCTCAAGGAGATATAAGAGTAGTGGACAATAGGTTTAAAAGTGTCGACAGACAACAAGAATAAAGCTGGAGAAAACGTAGAAAGTGTAAGGTAGGAGAAATAAGGGCAAGGGGTTATGATTAGGAGTTGAAGGCCAGGAGTGAAATAAGGTGAGTTTTGCCGAGTGGAGATGTTGGCTACGAGTTGGACGAACTGAGAGGGCGTGAAGATGCAGGACGGATCATGGACCGATATTGCGGGGAGGGAGTTCCACGAGAAGTGTGTAGAGGCGAGTTTGTCGCCCGTGAGCTGCTCCGCACTGCGCTTGTGAACACCAGCGCCGGCTGTGTAAGGTCTATGTTCGCTGCCATGGGCTGCCTAACGTGCTGTGTGTAGGAGTTGATACAGATGAGACAGTATCTCTGGCGGTGGTCTGACGGACGCTATGTGTACGGTGGTGCTAGTCTGTAGGCGACTCTGAGGATCACAATGTGGTCTGTAGCTACTATGCACTAAGTGCGGGAGGGACAGCGCTGAATGACGCTGTGCTTGTCTAAAGTAAGGGCTAACTTGTTTCGTGATATGATAGAATAGAATTAGAAATTAATATTTATATTAGTGCCTTCACATCAAACGGCAGCCATCTCTTGCTGCGACAAATCCCTCTGTCACGGACGCCCCTGGTGATCTATGATTGGGAGAGTCGGTAATGAAACATAAGTGACAGGAGGCTCGCATGGAGGATAGGGGTGATGTGGTCGGAGGATCGCTTTGTGATGTGAAGTTGGTGCGCTGTATATATGTTACACATCATTCAAATTTAGCTGCTGCGGCTTATATTCAGGGTCGCGCCTTATAGTCCGAAAATTTACGGTAGTTAGGGATGCCACTCTGGGCGCCTCCCAGGGAGTGTTCCAGGCACCCAGGCTGGGAAGAGACCAAGGGTAGACCTAGAACCAGATGGAAGGCAGTTATATCTCTTCGCTGGCCTGGGAGTGCCTTGGGATCCCCCAGTCAGAGCTGGTTGATGTGGCCAGAGAAAAGAAAGTTTGGGGCTCTCTGCTGGAAACTGCTACCTCCGCGTACCCGACCACGGATAAGCGGGAGAAGATGGATGGATGGATGGGCCGGAGATATGGAAAAATCCACACAAATAGACCCCAGAAGTGTTTTTTTGTTGTTGCTAAACCTCTCTTAAAAAAGGTCAAATGTCACTTTTTTTGCATCAATCTTGATACAGGGTACTTATTATATGTTATCGTTTGGATTCCTAAAGCTTTTAGTCTACTAACCAATCATTCAAGGGTGGTTTTCACTATAAGTAATGGTTTATTTTTGGATGGACACTATCATTTACATTTTTTTACTATGTTCAATCTGAATTTACTTTAAAATAAAAAAAAATCTATATTGATTCTGACTCTTCTACATCCAACTCACAGGTTTATCATTACTTTGAGAAAAAATATTATTAATGTACCCGTTTTAGAAGGGAAGATATGGTCATTTGTTCTGGGAATGTCATTTTCGTCCACAGGTTAAATAATTTACTGAAATTTTTGCATGAAAAATGTGTTGTAATAATAATCCAAATATTTGGCGTTGCATCTTCCCAGGATGCATTAGTCCACTTTCTGTTGCAGATTTACTAGAACTATGTTCTGAATGTACTTGCTCCACATGTGGACTCAGACAGATGCATCACCTCTCCTCCGTGTCTCCCTCTCAGTGCTGCTGTGCCTGGGCAGCCGGAAGGCCTCGTCTCTGGGCATGACTCTGTGCTCTGTGCTGGACCAGCTGGCCAAACTGCCTCTGCCTCACACCAAGGAGCAGGAGGAGGACGACGTGTTCTCCCTGTGTCGCTGCTGCAATGATATCACAGACTTCATCAAGCCCTTTGTCCAGGAGGCCAGGCAGAACCTCCAGAACAGAGAGGGGAACATCCAGAGAACAGACAGGGTGGGGTGGGAGCTGGGCCGGGACAAGGAGGACGAGCTGGGGACAGAACTGCTGAAGTTGTGAGTGGGAAGTTTTAGATGATTGCTTATTAAATATCTGCAGCATGCTGAACATTGACTCTGTGTTCCTGTCTGCAGCTGTATGAAGACGCTGAGTCACACTCTGCTGGAGGCGCAGCTCAAAGACCCCGACACTCTGCCAGAGTCCCCCCTCAGGGACTTCGCCACAGACATTTTGGTACGGAAATTAAATCACTAATATTGTGTGAAAAGCGCATGCTGACCAGTGACTGGAGTATGAAGGTTGGGATGGGTCCTGCTAATCGGGGTACTTACTACAGCAATAAGGCAATGAAACTTTACTTCATAATCTGTCTGCACTAATACAATATTGATATTTTAAATGTTCTAGATTTATATGATTTTGAAATGTATGTTCTACCTAATTATTGACTTTGTTGGATTGGAGGTTTATTTTATAGCATATGTTTTATGTTTTATTAATTTTTATTTAGCAGACAAGCTCCTCTTTGTTTACAGCGGGATATTTTTGGTTATAGGGAGGATCCAAACATCAACCAAAACTCATTTGTATTCAAATATTTGTAAACAACCATCCATTTGAAATATATATATATACTAATAATACTAATAATATATGGCATTTATTTTAGCACTTTTACAAGTGCTCAAAGCGCCTTACATCACATATTACATATATTAGACATGTAATACATCAAGACTGTGGACAATACCCACAGGAGCAGTTTGGGGTGAGGTGTACTGTCCAATGACACGGCGACATGTTGATCAGCAGATACAGGACTCACATTTGGTTGGTCGACACTGCCAGATGGTTTGTTGTGTGTGTGTGTGTGTGTGTGTGTGTGTGTGTGTGTGTGTGTGTGTGTGTGTGTGTGTGTGTGTGTGTGTGTGTGTGTGTGTGTGTGTGTGTGTGTGTTGTGTG